ATCTGTATTTTCAAAGTCAAAGCATTAAAATTAAATAAATAAATATTTTTGTATGCTCAGATAATTTTTTAAAAATCTATATTGGTACAAATTACATTAGAAAAACATAAACGTGCATGTACTTGATAGTGATATTTCGATATACAATCGTACATTAAAACCCAAACGATGTACATAGCATACGTACAGTGTACTTCCGAAAACTCGGAATACGTTAAGCATGAAGAATTTTACTGAAGTAATTTTCCTTTGAAAATAAGCCATATTGCCTTTTCACTTATGTTTTAAAAAGAATAAATGAAGCCGTAAAGCTTGCATGCAATAAAGAACATTTCTTTTTACATTGAAAATATAGAAACGCTTTTTAGTAATTGTTATGAAAAAATTAAAGTGTTCTTTAGATTTATTTATTTACATTTTCCTCTGTTCGTTAAGTTAATTTTTTTAAGATTAAGTGCACTCGGTACTTTGAAGTGAAAGTTGCGGGTCCTTCGGATGAGAACTTAAAAACCGAGTCCCCGTGTCACGACAGACGTTGGCACGATAAAGATCCCTCACTGCTCAATGGCCCTAAGTGCCGAGTAAAGGTCTAAATTTGAAGCCCTTCACCGGTATATTGTGACGTTTCTATATGAGTAAAAAATTCTCGAATGGGACGTAAAACAACAATCAATCAATCATGTTCATAAATGAAGACTAGTAAGTTCAAGCAGGTTATGTTGGTCAGCCATGTCCTCCTAATAATCAGATACCACCATTATTCCTTATTGTAAGTTTAAAGATACTTGTAATTCATTAAATATTTGTATTCCTGATGTGTTATTATTTGCTTAACAAATGAAAACAACAATAATTTTGACTGTTGATTCTCTTATGACTGGGTTTTTCTTTGAAATTCCAATTAAGCTTAATGGGTGCTGAAATTCTCATTTCTAAGGGCCCTGACCACCATTCCTACATGTAAAGTACTGAGAACACACAGATTGAGGTAAATTTTACACTGGACTGGAACCCGAATTAATTTTATTAAACCTATCGTAACTTTCAACACCTTTGGACCCAGTGATGTAAAACGATAACACAAAACCCAGGCGAGTAATTGGCTAGAGTTTTGGACTATATGGTTTTATACATTTTTAAATCACCGTATCCAGAACAAAGAAGTATTTTCTTTTCAAATAATTTAATTTCAGCAGTTTAACATGGAGATATTAAGGAGGCTAAGATAAATAAAGAAGTAGCCGTGTATGTGTGTGTGTTGAGGGGGGGGGGGGTTCCGAAAAGTGAAAGGGTTTACCAATGATCACACGCTTGTCCTACCAAGGAAAAGTTGCATTTAGTTTTATCTTATAAGCAAACCCTAGGGACACAACAGTTAGGTACATGTACACATCTTTTTTGAAACCATCGTGCATCATAATTTGGAAAGGAGGACCTCCTAGCTAAATTAAACCTAATACCTAAAGCAGACCTTAAAAGTGCCTTCAGGCTAATGCCAAGATATCCAAAGGCCTATGAGCTAATATAGTAGGATTTATTTTAGGGAAGCTTGTTATTTAAAAGGCAAGATGTGACCATGTGGCGTCTATTTCATATCCTGCAATACCTTCGAAACATTCTTTTCTTTGAATGGGTGGTTAGATAACAAGTAGGATTAGATGCTGTACGTCAATATTTGGACAATTTTATTTTTGCAGGAAGGGCAAATACAGGTCATTGCCAAATCTTAGTACGAGATTCCAGGGTCTGTTAAAATGGCCATTCCCAAGAACCCCGACAAAGCCCTAGGGCCTACTACCTAGGGTCCTTGATTTTAACTTTAGAAATGATATTCAAACTAAAAAAACGTAGAAATTTATCAAATCTTCGAGCATATTTAAAAATAAGCAATCACCTTTACATACCTTTAGAATAGAGTTAGGCAAACTAATTTCTTTGCAAAGGACACCACAGAGTCTGCCACATCTGTTTCACATTGAGATATTTTACTGACAATAGACGAAAAAGGCCAATTAACAACTGAATTGTATGACAAATGAGATGACTTTAGCTTTTCCATCGTCAACTTTCCTTATTTATGTAGTAATATTCTACTATCACCTGCTTATGGTGTTTATGTCTCCCAACATATTTGCTAATCAATAGCTTGTTCTGAGTACGATCAATTTTTAAAGCGAGGCAGGCTACTCACTGATAAAGTGATGTTACAGGGATTTCAACAGCCTCGTTTAAAGTCAGTATTTCGTATATTTAATGGTCGTTATAATGACCTTGTTAGCAGATATAACCTGTCATTGGGTCGTGTTTTTGCTGACTTGTTTCATGCCAATTGTTGGGCCTTTGTTTTTGTTCTGAACTGACTACGGATAGTTCTGTCTACCTGAGCAATACACAGGGCGTACGGCGGGTGTGATCGGTCAACAGGGGATGCTTACTCCTCCTAGGCACCTGATCCCACCTCTGGAATTTCCAGGGGTCCGTGTTTTATGCCCTCTTCACCTATTTGTATTGTTTGTGGATTTTTTTCTTTTTTATTTCAAAGAGTTACATATTAAGTTACATAATGAATTTTTTGCTCACATTTTCTCACACATTCACACTTCCCCTCTCTAGTTTTAAACAAGAATGAAATATCAAATAAAAGTTTATCAATGAGATGTAGTATTCCATTTGAAAAAAAATATTGTTGGTGTTTTAATAAATATTTACGACTCAAAAATATTAATCCATTGTGACCATAAGTTTTCAAAATTGGTCATTGCAAATTTTTGAATTGATATGGATTTTTCCATCTAAGAGTAACATGTAAATGATGAAGCAGCCCAGTAATCATAGGTATTTTGTTCTGTTTCAAACAGGAAAAGATATATTGCTTTGTATATAGAGTAATAAAATTTAGCACCCTTTTATGATAAGATAATGGAGTTTCCCCAAAAATGATATTACATGTGTTAAACCCAATGTTTTAGAAGTTTTTGTTAAAATGTGCATGCTAAGATTACTCCACAATGAAGAGATTTTTGTGCAATTCAAAAATATATGTTTATGGATTTTTTGAGGTCGATCACTGTCCGTTATCTTAACCGTTTACATCTTTAATGCCAAGATAATTGGCAACTACCAACTTTAATCACGTGCTATGGAAATTGTTTTTCATCTTTATAGCGGAGATTTCCTTAAAACCGTGTTTTACTGTAATTATAATTTTTTAATTTGACAATGCTTACTCATGCAAATCTCCCACAAATATCTTTTTTGAAATACTCTAGCCATCTCCTCGAATTACGAATGAACCTAACTTTTACAAAGTATGAATCAGAAATAAAACTTTCAATTTTATGAATCCAGTCCGCATATTGCTCCGTTTCAAGTATTGAACTTAATTCTACAGAAATATCAAAATCTGGCAAAATGATGAAAATATTAATAATAAAAATTCTTAAATACTAGATACAATGTAATGGACATGGAATAAACATTTTAAAGGTGATTTTCAAGAAAGGAGTTCAAAAAATAAATTCTTAAAGGGACCTATGTCAGGATATTGTAGCTGATTGATTAAAGATAATAAAATAAAAGATTGTAATGGGGTAGTCTTAAATTGAAATGTGGAACAGGAAAGGAAAGTGTGCCTCATCTACAGGAATGTGTCGTTGACATTCACTTTGGTTTCTTAAGGTCTGACGACACGTTGCTCGAATATCTGTTGTGTATTTTCTCTTAATATACAATGAATTAATCATAATTATCATTATTTTGTGATTTCTAAACTGTTTTCAAAATATTTAGTAAATAAAAACACCAAAAATTTGTGATATATATTCCCAATGCTAGTGATTTCCAAAAGGGTTAAATAGTAAACAGCATCATCTAGATCTGGTATCTTGTACGAATGCCTGGTAAGGTACCTTAATTTTTTGTGAGGAAACTTGTTAAGGTAGCAATACTTCAATGCAAATTCTTGTGAAAAATTATCTATTATTGAGGAACGTGTCGTCTGACCTTAAACAAAGCTGTCAAGTTTGGAAACAGTAGAGTCTCGTGTCCATTCGGTCATAGATTTGAACATAAACGGAAATCCAAATAATATTTTCCTTCATGTTTTTCATTTCTTCTATAAACATTATAACTGGTTGTCTGTCATTAGCTCCAAAAGATAAATAACGGGACTCCTACTTCTTTAATAATTAAAAAAGATGAGATGTCTCAAAATTACTTTTGCGAAAATTCACCGATGACGTTCGTCAATTTCCATCAGCTGCTACAGTAATACAGTATAACCCAAAGGAAAACGTTATAAGCTTGGTTTTCTCATCACGATTTTTAAAACAAATTATATGTGATCAAAACTTGATATTTTGAAATATTATCATTGTATCATATGTTTTGCTGCCAGACATTTTACCGATAGACTATATCATTAATCAAAGGGAAATGCCATATAGGGATTCATCGGTATTAAAAAATATCACTGAAGCCCTGCTGCATGTATTTAGTACTGTTTTAAATTTGAAAGATTTTTCCCAATGTTTTAAGTCGAAAAAGCACAGCTTGTCTATTGGACCTTAAACACCCCCCCCCCCTCCAGAGTTTTCGGAAATCCAAAATGTTTATTCAGAATAAGAAATCCCAGGGTCACGTTTAGCTAATTATTATGTACTGGGTTTTAGAGCAAAATACTTTTAAGAATCGTTTTGTTAACGGCGTTGTTTTCCTTTGAATTCATCCTCTAATTAGATGATACATATGTTAAAACACGAGGCATAAACATTCTATACCTACATGCAAACACACCTGTTTAAATCCAACTTGTCAACAACCCAACCAAACGCAAAATGATAAATGAGTGTTTTCACAAAGCATGACAATTTATACGTCATGCAGATTACCAGGGGGTTTCCAAAGGTCTATTTTTGCCATTGTTTAAACTGAATGCGTACAAAATTATGCTATATAAATATGGTTAATCTTGATTTCATTTAATGTCAATCTGCAGAATGGGAATGTATAAAGGATTTATAGCGTATGGAATATTTCTCTTGTGTCTTGTTTCGTCACAGAATTTAAAAAAACCAGAGGTAGGAAACATTTTCGTCAAAGAAGGGGGGGGGGGCAATATCCTATCAATTATTATTTTAAAAACGAAAGATGTTTTAAGAAATGGTATTCCTTTTTGATTTTAATATCTATGTACATGTACATTCATTGTACTACCAAAAAATGATGTCAAGTTATAGGGATGATATTGCATACCTTAATATTTTGAAAACTATGGGAAAAGATTATTAAATTTTCTGATTCTAAGATGAAGTATCCAGCATAAGAATTAAAAAGAAATTGCACTATTTCGTTGAAATTTTATTTGATTATTAATTTAATACTTCGGCAACTGATTATTTTGATTTATAAACAAAACATATCTTTAAAAACAAAATAAAACAGAAAACAGAAATAGGAAAGAAAATGGGTTAGTATGTTTGTTTCCTTAGAAAGTTTAATTGATGCAATATTTCCATCTCTATTTACATGCATGATTGACTGAAATAGCAGTTTTCTGGTGAAGTTTTATTAAAACGTTTTATGATACAATATAAATAACAATCGAAGAAACACAATCTGAATCTTTAAAAATGCTGTAAAACTGGCAATGGAAGACATTTAAACACTTTTAAAGGGTTTCAAAATTAAAATCAAAATTGAAAAATTATATGATGAAGTAAATTTTATATTTATTATCTAAAGTTTAACACTAAACAATAAAAATGAATGATAAAGAATAATAACTCAGAAGCTTGATAATTTAGTATTTTGGAGAGAAAAAAAGAATAAATACAGAATCTGCTTAATGTAATTATAACAAATGAATTCAATTTTTGACATTATTCTTTGAAGAAAGGATAAATAGTTCAGTTGTTCTCAAATCACAACATTAAACAAAAATGACTGATCTCAATATCTATTAGTAAGGATGAATACCCTGTAAAATATTCTCAACACGAAAAACTCTATTCCTAGCTTAACCTCCCCCCCCCCCCCCCCTTCAAAAAAGAGGAAGGATTCAACATAACATTTTTGGATAGAAAGATGCAAGAATGTAAAATGTAAGAAGATAATAAGGAATTTATAAAAGAACGTTTGACAAATCTAATTTCAAAGCTTACTAAATGTTATAAAATAATATTATTACAACTCTCTCTCTCTCTCTTTTTCCTTACAAATCGCTTGTGTTAATTTACATATATATAAAATAAAAAGTCACAAGGTATATAAATCTTACTATATCGCCAACAAATCAAATCATACAATTTTATTTAGATATATTACCTCCATGTCACGTCGGAAATCGACTTCCGGTTTGCAAAAACGGTGGTAACCAGTAAAGTTGTCAATAAGGAACCAGTTGCTAGGGAAGCCGTTTTCGATCTTACTCTTCCAAACGAAGCTTTCATTACAGCGTTCAAATTGTAAGTAACACATCATACGATACTTATGCAATTCTTTTCGTTTACTTTTCATACATGATATCAAACAGGAAACATGATTATATTGAAGGATAATAAATGGCAAAGAAATCCATGGAAAAGTGAAGGAAAAGGAACAAGCCAAACAAGAATTTGAGGCTGCCAAAGCAAAAGGGCAGAGTGCTGGCCATATTGTCGCCAAGTGAGATAAATACATATTTCATCACTTAACTGACTGAACAGAACTTTTAATCAAAGTTCTATACCAAAGACACTTAATAAGTAATTGGGCTATTTAACCACAACCTTAAGTACAAAATTCTATTCCATTAGAGATCAATTTATGATTGTTATTTGTCCAGAAAGAGAAAAAATATCTAAAAATTATGCTAAAGAATAAGCTCATTACCAGATACAATTTTTTCACAGACCTAGAGAAACAAACAAGTTTCAAATCCAGGTCAATGTAGCAGCCCAAGAAAAAGTGACGTTCGAGTTAACATACCGGGAACTTCTCAGACGAACTAAAGGCCTATACAACCATGTAATTTACATCAATCCTGGACAAGTGGTCGACGATTTGAAAATCAACGTCTTAATCAAGGAATCAAGAAATATCACAACTATCAAGACTCCACCAATAAAAAATGATCTTCTTACAGAGGGTCCGGAAGGTATCGCAAACTATTTCATTCATTGTAGCAAACAAATTGAAGCTCGATATTCGATCCTCGCAGTTAAGACTTGCGATTTGCAAAATAGAATTTGAACCCATTTGAGATATCAACCATAAGTTATATTGTATATGATGTGATTTTGTGAAGGATAATGAACGTTTTCTTCTGGTTTTAAGGAACAAACCAACTTGCCGTAGTTGATCGTATTTCTCCAACGAAAGCGTTTATTTCATACGAGCCGTCTAGAGCTGAACAAGAGTCTGGTATTTCTGGCCAGTTTATTGTCCAGTATGATGTGGACAGAAGTGACAATGCAGGGGATATTCTGGTAAATTCTACAACTTTTATGGTAGCGTTTTTCTTAAACCATTAGAAAAATATACAAGTAATATAAAAAGGGATTTTAAAAACAACAAAATAAATAAGCATACAATTGCTTTTGATGAATTGAAAGAAAAATTAAACAATAATATTTGTATACATATCGTACAAATCTATGCATAAATATATATTACCAAAAAAATCTTAAGGTAATGGATGGATATTTTGTGCATTTCCTTGCACCCGAAGGAATTGAACCGATGCCAATGGATATAGTGTTCGTGCTGGACAAGAGTGGTTCAATGAGTGGAACTAAAATGAGACAGCTTCAGAAATCCATGTATAAGATTATAGACGATGTTAAGTCAGAAGATAAAATCATGATTATTGCGTTCGATTCCTCCCTGTCGTACTGGAAACCGGAATTTGTACAGGCAACAGCTTCAAATAAAAACGCCGCCAAAGACTATATAAAAAAGACCCCGGCAAGGGGAGGTACGTATACACTTTCTCAGTTATTATATGAATGGTTGCTTATTATTTTGTCTGTTTTATTCGTATTTTTAGCTTATAAGAATGATAAGTTAAAACAATCGTTATTCCTTTATATTTTCGAGATGATCTTGAATAAGCGGTTTATATTTACAGTTATAGCAAAGTACTTAATATGCATACTGCAAAAATGTATACAAAAGGCGACTGTACATCACGAAAAGTAATACTGTAAACCAACTTTTATTCGCGTGTGAGAAATATCCGCGATTTTCGCGACCTACTTCAACTCGCGAATATTAATCGTTGCAAATCATTTATTTTGTTTTGAATTTGTAGAGAATGAGTCGTTAGTAGTAAAAATTACTTGTCGTGGATTGATTTCAAACTGACGAATCGCGAATAAAAGATGACGAAACTAATAGTTGGTATACAGTATTTCAATTATTAAAATTTTATTTCAGCTAATATCCATCGAATTCAGAAAATTTAGTAATAATTCATATAACATTTTTATCTCCTCTTTTCTTAACTATCATAAAAAAATGTCAAAATGCATGTATCTTTAATTTTTCATCATTTAATTAAAAAACATTTTACACCTGTAAAACATAGGCATGCCTAACATAAATATAGCGGAGATTAAAGGAGGTTTTGCTAGCAAGAATATTACAAAAAAAAATCACCTGCTTTCAAAGAGAGAAAATTTTATTTTGTTCATATTTCATCCTTCAGGGACCAATATTGATCTTTCATTAAGAGAAGGCCTTCAAAAATTAATGCAAATAAGCGGAACCAAGGGCCGAGCACCTCTCATGGTTTTCTTAACCGATGGACAAGCCACGTCTGGAGAGACCAGAACTGAACGCATACTAGAAAATGTAAAGAAACAGAACGAAGCGGAACTGCCCATTTTCAGTCTTGCTTTTGGAAAAGGCGCTGATTTTGACATTGTTAAAAGGCTTGCAGCACAGAATAACGGATTTGCAAGGAAAATCTATGAAGACGCAGACGCAGCTCTTCAGATAGCAGGGTTTTACGAGGAGATTTCAACCGTTTTGTTGAAGAACGTCTCATTCAACTATGTTGATGGAACATTGTATGACACCTCAGTTACTGAGACTAATTTCAACACTTACTTCAAAGGTTCTGAAATGGTTGTTGCAGGAAAAATAAAAGATCTTACCAAGTTACAATCAGGCATGATCGTAAATGGAGAAGGAAGTAAAACCAAAGTCTTCCTTCGTGTACCTCCCAATCACAGCATTATTATCCCATGGCCACGACCTCCGTTCCCTCCATTTCCTCCCCGACCCAGACCATTCCCAACGCCATCACCCCCTGTCACTACCAGAAATCCCGGAATGATGGAGAAACTATGGGCGTATTTGTCTATCAAACAAATGCTGAGAGATAAAGATGCTCTTGATTCACCGACAGAGATAAAAAAGTTAGAAGACAAAATTCTTCAGCTTTCTTTAAAGGTATAAATAAATAAAGATTACATTTATTTACTGAGCAAAGCTTTGGTAATTTAAAAAAAAAAAAAAAAAAAAAAAAAAAAAGGAAATGCAAACGGAATCTTTTGAGAATTTGATTATGAGTTAAATTGATTTAATTTTACAGTATCAGTTTGTGACACCCTTGACTTCTATGGTGGTTACGCTGCCCGATAACACCAAGGCTAATCCAAGTGAGGTGAAGCCAACAGAATCAAATCAAGCAGATTCTTTGAGCATGGGTAAGGGTATTTTTTTTTTAATACTTTAACGTAATAAATTATTTCGAAAAAAAAAAATACAAAAAAATTAATAATAAATGCTAAATTATATATTTTGTATGTGGTTTTTACTTTATGTTTCATCCAAAATTCAAAACCAAAATGCTCTTGCAAATTAATAATCTTTAGTAACTTATTTTCAAAACAGAATAGGGAAACATATCTCAATCAATGTCTCATTTAAAAAATTCGAATGCAATATCTTAATGGTAATTTAATAAAATATTTGCTATTTTAACCCTTTACCTGCATAAAATCTTCTTTTGATATCTGAGTTCTAAAAAAAAAATAATAATAATTGCGTGCAGGTGCACATTTTATTTGGTAAGGACTTAAAGAAAGGTGAAGCACAAACAGATAAAAAAAAAATAATCGCCATTTTTTTTTTACTGATATAATAATTTATAAAAACTATTACCAGGTTGTTGAATTTGATAGATTGATTGATTAAATGCTGTTTTAGGTCCCATTCGAGAATTTTTCACTCATATAGAGACGTAACCATATACCGGTGAAAGGCTTCAAATTTTGACCTTTACTCGGCACTTACGGCCATTGAGCAGTGAGGGATCTTTATCGTTCCAACGCCTGCCGTGGCACGGGGCCTCGGTTTTTAAGGTCTCGTCCGAAGGACCCGCAACTTTCACTTCAAAGTGCCGAGCGCATGGTGAAGAAACAGTTGCAAACCATTTTTTATCGACTTAGGTCAGTCGCGGCCGAGATTCGAACTCACGACCTCCCGATAACGGTTGTTGAATTTTAGAGCACAACATAAAGCACAAAGAACAGTCTTGATAAATGGAAAACAAATTAGAGTACTCATGAAAAAGATGAGTTTTCGTTTGTATGTGGTTATATGATGACTAAGTAAATGTTTTCATCTTCATTTGTAACTCTGGTGAGCATTGTTGACCATTGGTCATACAAAAATTATTCCAGAATAGTACAAAGTCTTTTTCCACATAAAATATACAAAGGAGTTCCAAGATAAAGTAAACTTTCTGTCTTTAGGTATATATGATCTACAAACTATTCTAATTTCTCAAATATATGATTACCGGAAATAAATAAATATAAAAAAGGGAGGCTGAAGGCTCAAGAAAGCTTTTCTGTTCGAAATTTAACCGTTGTTCTGTCGACATGTGGTATGGCGTTCGCATAGAGATCGGGGGTCCGGGTTCGATTCAGTTCTAAGCATAAAGTTCTAAACATAGGTAGTGACTTCTCCTTCGCCAAGCGCCCAGCATTATAACTGAAAATCACAGGTTTTTTTGGATGAGACCTTAAAATCCGAGGTCCTGTGTCACGGAAGGCTATGGCACGATAAAGAACCCTCATTGCTCAATGGCCGTTAGTTTTGAGTATAGGTCTAAATTGGCGGAAGGGTGGGGTAACAACAGAAGGCAAAGTTTTACATAGGAATTTATTGGAAAAAATCTTTAAAAAATTCTTGTCATTAACCACTTGGCAAAAGAGTTGAAACTCGAGATGAAGCTTCAATGCATAGTGTAGATTCAAATTTGTTCAATCATGACCCTTGGGTTTAGGGTGGGGCCAAAATTGGTGATTTAAGTTTTACATAGGAAGATATTGGAAACAATCGTAAAAAATCTTTTTTAGAACAGCAAAAGAACGATTAATTATATTGATATAGAATGTATGTAGCCTAAAGTCACTAACAGTAACGAAATCGGCAAGCTTTTTATAAAGACTGAAAGCAGTCCCAGTCATATAGGTCCAAGAAGTGTTCCTTTGTTTAAATAAGACCCCTCATTACTCATCATTTCTTGTTAATGTCAAATAATAAAAAGGAAAGGTTAAGAACTACTTTTAATAAGTGGGAATTTTAGCTAAACTCAGTTTTAGATATTTCCAATAAGAATCTATATTTTATTTTTGGAAAAAGACATTTTAGAGATTTTATGGTGTCAAGAAAGAAAACTCTAATCTCCGATACGAAAAAATTGGTTGAGATATTCACTTTACCGATCTTAACCCATTTGCAAAGAATGCCCGAGTTGAACCCTTACTAAAATTCGACTTATAAGGTTTATTAAAAAATACAATTTAATAAAACTCTGACATCATGATTGTACAAATATTGATAAAAATAATTACTATACATATTGTTATTTTTAATATATTAAGGTCAGACGATAATCTCTTCAAATATCTGTTCTGTATCTTTTAGTAATGTATAAAAATATTCAAAATTATAAGTTCCTTTTGGTTTCCAAACTGTTTTCTAATTGTTTAAAAAAACAAAAAAGCAAAATATGTGATATTGGTGATTGAAGTTATTTCCAAAAGAATTATATAGGAAACACAATCCTCTAATATCTTGTACAAATGCCTGGTAAGGTACCTCAATGTTTTATGAGTAAATATGTTAAAGTAGTAATACTTCAATGACAGAATTTTGGGAAAAATAATGTATTATTAAGAAATGTATCATCTGACCTTAAGTCCCATAATATTGAGGAAGATAGTTGCAAAATATCTCTAATTAAATACAAAGATTTGAAGCTATTAAGATATGTAATATCATAAAAGTTGTTCATATAACTTCGTTTGCATTTTTCAGGACGAGCGGCAGCGCCTGGCTTCTTGGCAAATAGTAAATTCTCATGCTTTCTTTGTTTTATATATATCATTGATCCATGGTCAAATTCAAGCTATTTTTTTTTTTGGTATGAACGTGTTTTGAATAATTTTTTTTTTTATTTTGTGAGATATGCTATCCAGTAGCAGACGCATTTCGTCTCCAAGAAGGGGTGGAGGTACGTTTTTTATTGGTTGGTCACGTTGATTAAGCTTTCCGAGAACCCTGCAGAGCATAAATAAATTTAAAAATTTGCAATTATAAAGTTTCTTTTTAAGTCATTATGACCAAGGATTTTTTTTTTTTTTACAAGGAATAATAAGTGCATTTCCAAAATAATTACTCTCTCGAGTGATCTCCTAAAACAAAATGTGAAAAATTCCAAATAGAAAACGAAAAATAATAACTAATAAAGGAGTTACTTTTCTTACCATATCTATTGTATTGTAGGTGGTGGCGGTGGATCATTGTTTCAAAAATCTAGTTCTTTCCTAAGTAAGTGCTTTAATTATTTTCTGAAACATAAAATATTGATAAGTTATTTTCTTTTTTTTTTTTTTTTTTTTTTTTTTTTTTTTTTTTTTTTTTTTATACATATTTATTATTACAACAGTAACTTGATACAAAGAATCGTATCACGTCACGTAGAAATTCGTAGATCATCAGATCAAGCGATATATTATAACAGACTAAATTCGTTTAATCGAAATCTAATATTTGCTATAACTAATTAAATCATTTTAAACGAATTCTAATATTATGTTTAACGACTTGAATTCTTTAAACGAATCCTACAATTTGAATAATTCATTTTAAAAAAATCAAGTATATACAAAAAAAAGTAGATGTGCAATAAAATAAAGGGTACTTTTTAAAACAATATGGTGGATTTTCCAAATCAATTTCGATATAAACCCATGTTTATTGGCCGATCAGGATAATGTAAGATAACCAAGGGTGTTTGTTTCACGTTAAGAATTACGTTACTGTCGTTCACTAATTTGTTGAAACAATTTTCAATTGCCAATGAGTACATGACTAATTAGTCATGTACTCATTGGCAATTTAAAGTTGTCAATTATAGTGAAAGACACTACTTTACTTGACCACTGACTTAATTTGAGTATTAGCAAATGGTCATGAATTAAGGGAAAATATAATTAATATAAATGAGTTTTGAATACTCCACACTTTGTAAAATAGTTTAATCACCATTGATTTGTTTGTAATTGAGTATTTACAGCGGGCGTAAACCCTCTCTACACTGCACACTAAAGAGTTCTGATTCTATGGTATTTTTCTGCAGTTAGAGTGATCTGCCCTTAGATCTAAATTCCAATAAATTGAAATTTACAGTATATTACTTAATTTGTAACCAGTTCAAGCATTCATAACATTTTAAATAGCCAAGATAAATTAATTGAACACTTTATTTGCATGTATTTTCTCCAGGGAAGTAAACAATAGTGATTTATGTTCATTGATACTGGATTGTCTGAGAACATTTTTCCTGGAGGTAAATGCCACGTACCATATATTGAAAATTAAATTGATAAGCTTAATATTTACAACTTTATTCAAAATAATTTTCTCAATGTCCAAAAAAACATTTTGCACTGGTGTATAGAGGGTCCTTAATTATATGCTTACATGTAGAAAGATATTATTTTTCAAAAAAATAATTTATATGCATAATTTGAAGCATTACTTTTCAATTTTTAAATGATCGCAAAAACACAGAAATCCATACACAAAATTGCTTTTTAAGCAAAAAGAACTATTTTCCCGACAAAATTTGAATCATCTACAGTATTAACATAAAATAAGATATAATTTTATTTGGGGAAATACCTTCGTATAGCCTCTTAAATAAAATACATTCTTAATTTCACTAGGTTTTGCTGCTCCTCCAAGACGAAAGTCAATGTTAAACAGCGCTAGCAATGGTAAGACTATTTTCTTCTTAAATATTCTCCCTGATTTTGATTTTTTTAAATAAGTTCATTTAGGACCTATAAGAACTATTTAATAATTCGATTTAACGAATTGTCGAATTTGTTTTACTCAAATTTAATTCGTTAAAACTTTTTTCTGAATTCGTTAAAACATTTTTTTCTTATCTGTTATAACAAGTTTGTTGAAATTCCGTACATATTTTTTATATGGAAAATCCATAACTAGGGAGGCTCTCAGATTTAAAAATGCATATATAATTTAGGAAAGTGTGTGAAAATAGAATTTGGTCTAAAGTAATATACAAGATGTAGTAAGTTTTATGAGATAGAATATATCTTTAAGTTGCATTTGTTTCCTTTCATGAAGCAAGGCCATTTTTTGGGATAAGTAGAAGAATGCCGTTCGGAAATATCGCTTGTAAGTAATTATTTTCTGTCACTCGATGGAAACAAAAAAAAAAAACAAAAAACAAAAAAAAAAAAACAAAAAAAAAAAACAAACAAACAGTATAATTATTATACTTACTAGTTGACTACCTTTACATTAACATACAAGGATAAAGTTATAACTACACAACACAGCCGAACTTTTGATGTGTAAGTCAATATCAGATTTCTTGCATTTGAATTATTTTTTTTAAAAAGGACGCAGTGTCCAAATCGCAAAAATACATGAATTAAAAATTTTCTTTCACGTCCCAAAATCTGAGGCGAAATCATAAAATGTTCTCATAATATTCATCTTGTATTCAACTGAATTATCATTGTATTTATTTTTTCAGCATCTTCAATCCAATCCTTACCTAGCTTCCCTGGCTTAACCAGAGGAAGACTATCCACCACAACCACGCCAAAACCAGTAACGCCATCAATACCAAAACCCAGGACATTGGGTAATTATTGGGGGAGAGTAAATATAAGTTTAATATACTGATTACCTTAAGCTTGTACCTTATAAAGAAAGCTGCAATAGGCAATGCCTACTGTTTATCCTAATTATGTACCTCACATAATGAATTATGTTCAATTTAATCAGTTTAAAATGAGTATTTATGACAACTACACCAAACTGTCAATACTTACAGAGAAATCTCAAGTTCCATCTTTTGGAATCGTTATTCCCGGCCTAGCAAAACCTCTTTGCTTTGATTTACCAATGTCCTCTTCTACGATGTACAGTATTTTGAAATTAACATCATCTGTCACAGGTAGGGTCAAATCAATGGTTGAAGGAACAAACAAAATTGATAAATAAATGATCGCACAGTAATTTTAATTATGTATCAAATACAATGCTCTTATCCTTATCAACCTGTAAAGGTGTCTCAAAAAAAAACAGTGATATCCATGAACTGAAATTATTATTTTTGATTTTCAAAAGTATTTAAATCTTTGAACTATTTGGTAAAGAAAAATTATAGTATCATTTTTTGTGTTTTGATTGCAGACTACCGCATCGACGGCCAGTTTGGAACAGAGATGATAAATAAAATCACAGTAAAAGATGGAAGGGTCGTGACATTTAACGCCAACCGGAGAGACATAACCAAGGCACCTATATATCGAAAGAATATAGATGGAGTCACCGTAAAAGCCATGAACACACCGCTTGGTTTGCAGCTGTCAGCGGAATTCATAGCCCCAAAGGATAACTTGGACGGGATCTTGTGTAATTTTTTTGTTCTTATACATGTATCAGATAAGAAGTAGATTATGATTTTGATTTTATTTAATTACCTTGAAACTTTCTGGTGTTTTTTTTTCTCATTTTTTTTCTTTTTTGAGTTTATCTTTCGTTTATGAGGAATTAAGGGCTATTTTTTGTTAACTTTAAGATAATTCTTTTTATCAAGCAACGATTTTGGGTTATAGACAGAACGACTGTCTCAAGATTGGTTTGGTTTAAACCTATTTCATTGTACTTTTAATTCCGTTATATTATAATCAGTGATTTCTGTCAATTCATTGCGTACCGAATTTCATGAATAAGATGTTTTATACTTCATCTTTGCAGCCATTTTCAAAGACTACAGTGGTAAACTTGTTGACATAATGATGGAGTCGGGAGAATTTGTCTCGTATGTAAACTTGGAACAGACAAATGGTCAACAAACTTCTCTGAGAGCTATAACAAAAGAATTCGGTGATGGAGTCTGTTGGTACTTGGACAATGAAACCATTAAGAGGTTTTATACAAATATGTCTCAATTCGAAGTCATGTCAGTGTGAATCTGATTGTCTCCTACATCCATGTTAGTTGAAGAATAATTTTTAATGAAGCATGAATCTCTTGCATTGTATCAATATATAAATAAAGCTTCTTAACACATTGTTTCGCTTTATGATTATTATGATTTATTTTTGTAAATTGTAAAAGTTAGTACAAATATCCTTCAAGAAGTTAGTTTTAATGGCATACTTGATAGTGTGAGTTCTAGGTAATATATCACAGCCTTCTCCAACCCTTCAATCAGAAATGAATCAGAAATAGGATAAATGATTGAAATGTCAACCAATCTTTGGTTACTGTGTGTAACTTCATATAATTGATGTTGTCATTTGATAATTTTTATACACTTAAAAAATTTTATACACTTAAAAGTCATTTCCCCACTGGCTTGTGTGTTGCTTTCTTGCTTGAATACCATCTTATTTATATTTTTTTTTTGAGGAACACATCAAAAAGTTGGTTATGTTATTTCTGCACTGTAGGTTTCTTGACATTCATTTCAGCATACTCATCATCAATCAATATCCCTTTAGCCTTTTTGAAGAAATTATATTCCGTTTGTTGAAAAAACTTTTACACCGATCATTGTTATTCTGAACAGTTTTTTTTATTTTAAGAAATATAATACTGTATAAGGATACATTTATTTTTCATCAAAAATGCAATGATTTTTATATATTCTTTTATAAAACTGTTTTGGGGATTTTTTTCTAGTGTTTAGGACGAACATTTTTTGTAAGCTTGGATAACTTTAATGCTATTTTAGAGTTTCTTTCTCTGTTTCTATTTATGACTATTTTACATTTTTCTACCCAGCTGTAGACAGCGGTAATTATACAGCTGTTATATGGCCCATAAGTCTGTGTGTTTGTATAATTGTGGACCCGTAAATTATGTTTGAAATGCCTTCAAACTCGGATGAGTTCTATCAAAATAAGTGGTAAACCCTCACTTTGAATCATAAACCTAACTCAAAAGTAAAGTATGTTTTGTAGCAGTTGAACCAAAATTTAGCCTTTGTCATATTTCTGCAGCTAAGAAGAATTTGACCCCATTCTTGTTGATACATTGTACACATACAATGAACTCAAGTTTACATGTAGGTAATATCTCAAAGGCCATCACTGAGATTGTATCTGTTGAATGATTTATAACTTGTCTTTTCTACCATTCTTAAGCTATCAATGAGAATGGTTCCATATACGTATTGTTGAGTTAAAAATGTTTAGTCTAAACATGTAACTACATGTTTAAACTGTTACACGAGAATGTTTCATCCTGTCAGAAATTAGTTGAATATGTCCTGCTGGTGTGTTACATTGTCGCATTAGGTACAAAGTCACACTGTTATTGGTTTGGTCTGGCCCATATCTGTAAAACCACATCACAAAATGCTTTTTCAGTCATTTTGTCATAATCTTGATTCTAGCTTATACCTCAAATGTTCTGATCCTGATGTGATGTGGAGCTCAACAACTTAACAAAACTCTTTGAAGTCTTAAATAAGAAGATCTGTTCAACTTTCATGCTTAAGATATCCTACAGTTTGTTTAGATTACAAAAAAATTGACAAAACGTGTACTTGATAATTAAAAATTTCGGTTTAACTCTTCAGTAATAAGCGTTTGATTAATCAAGTTCAAATCACACATAAATACGTTATTACAGTGGTCCCGAGGTATTTTTGCTCTGATCTGAATATGCTCTAGACCATTTACTCCCACTTGTGCAATGATTTAGAGCATTGCGACTGGATATAATGCAGAATCGCAGTATCTTATTCATGAATCAAATACGTAATAAATTTATTTGACAATAAACTAGTAGATTGACTTTCAAGAAAGATCTTATAATGCAAGGCTAATTATATAATTGCAAACATGATAAATATAATTCTCTTAGAAATAGCAACACTTTAAGTATCATAAAACAATGACATCTCATATGATTGAAAAATTCTCGCAAACAGGCGTAAAGCAACATTCAATCGATCATTCTTCGTGACATTGGTAATGTAAAGAAATTTCTTAAATTTAAATCTCTGAGTTTTTAGATATTTAGAATAATATAAACATATACGAATATATAATATATAGAAAATGTATAAGAATAAGAATATTTTTAAAATATGTCTTGTAAATTGTACCTTAGATTGTCTTGGAGTTGAACATTTTATGAATTAGAGCAGAGAAAATGAATTTGTATTTCACCATTCCATCATGTATTTAGAGCAATCTCGGAGAATAAATTACATTGGAGCTGATCATTTTATTATAGAGGCCTGAGCGTTTGAAACTCGGCGATAAACATTCCAAAAGATTGAAGATTTGATATTTAAGAAATAAGGTATCATTTTTAAACATCTATCGGGATATAAATACGGGTTGGTCACGAGATCAAATTCCATAAAGCCCGAAGGGCTTTATGGTAAATTTGATCTCGTACCAACCCGTATTTATATCCGATAGATGTTTTTTGTGACTTATTCATATTATCTATTAGCCTGATTATAACCTTAACGCGTGAAATGTTTTATTTTTTCAAACTCAACGGCACAAGTTTGATCTATTGATTGCGCGTCGACCCTTTATGACGTCACTGAGAAATTACGTCGAACGTTTATGTCGCGAGGAACCCGTGTTTATACGGATATAGATACAGATTGCTTTTAATAGTGTTATATAAAGGAAAACATTTGCAAATGTAAATATTTATAGTTTATAATTATAATGAAACTATATAACTATATAACTATATATTTATATATATATATATATATATATATATATATATATATATATATATATATATATATATATATATATATATATATATATATATATATATCATCTTAGCTTAAAGTAAAGGTTTGGAAATATGGTATTTATTCGATAACCTTTCATGTAATTTACATTTCTACTTTTGGATAATTAATATCGAACAAAGAAAATTAGCAAATTTTTAATCAATGGCTGGAGAGTACGGTTTTCAAAAAACACAACCACTAGTAATCTGGGAATGTAAAATTATAAGTACTGTCAGTTCTCTGATTTTCTTCCATCGCTTTATGCCATTACTGTACACAAAACATTATTCAAATCTGTGTGAAGTTATAATTTAACCCAACTCTTTCAAATATTACTGCTTTGGTAATAGGTGTACTTGGGATAAACTTTTATATTGTATTTACAATGAAGAAGGTTCGATTTTAATGCAAATCTGGCCTTGTATTTTTTTTTAAATCTGATATGAAATTATTATGAGAAGTTAAAACTCATGATTTCCGAATTGTTAAAACTCCATGCAGTAAGATCATACAAATCGTTTTTCTTATATGACCTGCCGTCACGGTAGCTCAGTCGGCAGAGCGCTCGCTCCGTGATCGGAAGGTCGTGTGTTCAAATCACGGCCGCGACTGACCTAAGTCGATAAAAAAAAATTGGAAGCAATTGTTCCTTCGCCAAGCGCTCGGCACTTTGAAGTGAAAGTTGCGGGTCCTACGGATGAGACCTTAAAAACCGAGGCCCCGTGTCACGGTAGGCGTTGGCACGAGAAAAAACCCTCACTGCTCAATGGCCCTGAGTGCCGAGTAAAGGTCTAAATTTGAAGCCCTTCACCGGTTAATGGTGACGTCTCTATTTGAGTGAAAAATTCTCAAACGGGACGTAAAACAACAATCAATCAATCAATCAATCAATCGTATATGACCTCCTAAATGCCAACTGTGACGTCATGTACTTTTGTAATTTCTTAAAAAAAATGCGGAAGACATCAATTTTCAATGAAATTTTCTTTCAGACAATATAGTCCACATACATCGCCCATAAAGATTTTAAAAAATGTAATTTCTCAAAGGATTTTACACAACATATCCGAAAATTGAAGTGGGCAAGGGCTGGGGACACTATTTTCTTAAGGAAAATAACCCTTTAATTAGTTATTTTGAGGCTTATTCAGAATCTGTCTAAAACTTATAAAAGTAACTAATTAATATAATGTCATATTTCCAGAACGGTCCTCCTTTAAACATGTACCTTTTTTTTCAGGATTTTCAAATTTATATATTCAACATATATTTAAGCAAATTTCAACACTTAATGAGAACATCAAATTTTTGGGGGCGTACTGAATTAAGCCAAAAATAATACCTTCTTTAAGTACATTCGGTACAATTGTGTCACTTTTTTTAACGTGATCCTGTGAAATCCTTTCCGCTATTTATTTCTGTGAAGAACAAGAAAAGATGACAAATGACTCCGTTACGTGATTTTCATTTACTTAATCTGAATGTGCCGAATCACATCAATCTATAGAATTAACAAAGAGGCTAATGGATCGTTTATCAAGCCCTCGTTTTGCAAGCATCACTTTAACAAAGCCAAATGCCATTTCTGAATTCAAGTTTAACGATAAAATTCAGTTTGGAGATAGTATTATGAAATGTTTCCTACTTTTTAACATGACTTCCCAATTGATTTTTATTTGAAATACTGTTTAAAAATCCGTTTAATTTAATTTAGGCATTTTGCTCGAGCAAATTATATGATTTTCTCCTAATAATAAATCAGGATCAAAACGATGACAAATTGCTGCCTTACCGACATTTGAAAAGGGGACCTCGTATTGAAAGAATGTCTACCAAAGAAAAAAATCCTCATTTAATGTAACAACAGAGAAACAATATAATTATTAATGGAGATTGACTGTACATGCATGCTTTTCCCATATTGAGTATTGTTTGTATGTAATGCCATTTTACGTTGAAAGTATTAACCAATTTATCTCCGGCCAACATTGCTCTTTAAATTCATTTCAATCTTTGATGTATTTTCCATACGTAAAAACGAAATCTTGGCCATTATTTTAAATGATAACTCTTTAACTTACAATCCTCTATAATGATCTTCTAACGAGTGATTTTAACTGATCGACTTTCTTTTTCCATCTCTAATGTCATCTTCATCACTTGCACGTTTAGGATAATGTGCACAAAGTCACGTCATCAAGAAGTTACTTCCGGCGGACGAGAGGAAGCACTTTTAAATCAAGTAATGGCGAGTGCAAATCTACAGCTTGAGTGGAAGGGACTGACGCCAAGAA